CAAGTGCAGCGGGGCCGCCATAGCAAAACGCTTGATAAAGCGTACTTTAGGTCACTGACCTTTAGTTCTTTACAAGAATTAGCGGATCGCATTCCGCTTACTCCAAGAGTAATTATTGCCTACCCAAGGCGAATTGACTCTTCGGTTTAAACTCCAAACTGATTATTGTCTATTTTTTTAGGGAGAATAAAAAAATGCCCCAACTTTTGCCATATGTAAGAAAATATCCCAACTTTTCAAAAAATAGAATAATACCCCAGCACGTAAATTATCACCGGGGAGCCGTAATATTACACAACAGAAGATGTTTGTATCAGGAATGAATAAGCATAATTTAACAAAATTCCCCACAATAACAAAGTATACATTAATATGCTATAACCATTCAGTTTACTATTAACCAAGTAAAGCTAAATTAAAGAATACGTCTTGATCTTCTTCTAGTTTTAGTTATATATATTATTTCTCCTAGCCAATCATATAGTGGATTGAGATCATGTGCACTTGCGTGTGTGTGACACTACTGGATTCTTTTCTGGATTTTTCTGAATGTTGATCTAACCCTTACATGAAGATAAATTAATGAGCAAAACACATTCATGATTCACCTCCCGACTGGCAATGGTTGAATCAAGTCAAAGTGATGCAGATGCAATTGTATTATCATCTGAATCTGAGTGTGACCAACAAGCATCACAAAGCTGTGGTGAATTTTTCCACAGTGGAGAACACACATGCAAAGACGACATTATCAGTGCTGTCATTGACTATCACGCTGCGATTTACCGGCCATTCAGGGTAGCGAAGAGCGATCAACGACGATATAAGGCAATATGCAAGAATGAAGGCTGTCCATTTGAAGTCCAATTTTCGTTCTATTCAAGCTTTCAGTCACCTACTAAGTTTGTCCCACATGAGTGTCGAGTTACGGAATGCGACACACTGTCACAGGCAATGAACAGATCCTGAACTGCGAAACAACTCATCAGAAATCCTGCTGTAAAGCAGTTGTACATGGAGCATGGAAGGGATGTGACTCCTATCATGGTTTTCAAGCAAGTCGAGCGTTTGGGTCACAATACGTCCTACCAAAACTGTGTTAATGCGTGCAAGCGGCTAGTCAACGAACTACTCGGCGGAATAAAACACAGTACGCATTATTACCATCTTATGTTGAAGCTTTGAAAGAAATTGGGCATAAGGCAAAACTCGAAGTTGCAGACGGCATCTTCAATCGTCTATGTATTATTTACCGGGAGGGCATTCAGACTTTCCCATTCTATGTTGCGTGTGGGATAAGCATCGATGGAACATTCATGAAGACGACAGTTGGGGGAACACTC